TTTAGTGGCCACAGAGGCCACGCCCTCCTCCACCAGTAAAGCCACCTCTTATTATAGACCACAGAAAAATGCACATACAATACACACACACACACACACACACACACACACACTTCCCCGTCCACACAGATATTTATAAAACTCCCTTCGTTCACTGACTCACGTTTATTTTTTTTAATCAGATTTAAGTTTATTTTGTTAAATTACAGCTCGTTACTTTTCAAAATAAACAACATGTTTGTGATGAGAGTCCGACGGCTGAACATCCACCGACACTGAGCCGGGACTGGAGAACCGGTCCTGGAGAACCGGTCCTGGAGAACCGGTCTGGACCAGAGGCTGTCACTGCGTCACCTCACACACAGATATGATGATCAAATTAAAAGTTGATCGTTTTTATTTCAATTCTGTTTTCATTTTGTCAGAATCAGACATTAGTTAATGTGGGTTTAAAGTTCATTTGAGTTCATGCAAATAAACTCATTTGTACTATAGTATATATATATATATACTGTATATATGTATATACATATATATATTTGTATATATATATATATTCTCCTCTTCACCTTTTTGCGCTCCTCTGTTCTTTTCCTTTTTCTTTTCTTTTCTTTTCTTTTTGCGCTCCTCTGTCGGTGCAACCATCCCTAAAAAACATCTTATTTTTTGTTTCAGGGATGACCCCTGGGCTCCAGGACCCTGGGCTCCACACCTGCTTCAACATCACTGCTCGGTACCTTGGTACTAAGTGCGAGGGACCGTGACGTGCTGCCGTCCAGACTTTGTCAAAGTTACGCCAAGATGAAAAGGAAGTCAACTGTCGTTGGTTCCAGCTCGGTCCTGTTTCTCATCGCTCCGACTCGCAGCTGTTGTTGGACATAAAAATCAACGAAGGTGGGGTTTTGTTCCGACATTGACCTCATTAGTTCAGTCAAGAACCGATCCAAAGTTCCTGGCAGTGAAGACGCTCCGTCAATCTTTGAAGCTGAGCCTGAACACCCGCTGCTCGCTACATCTGGGCCTTTTGACCACACGCCACATTTGTCCAGTCCCACCCGCAGAGCATTTCATCATCTCTCACACCATGTGCCACAGCCTGGCCAAGAGCTGGGAGGCTCCGCCCTCCACATCCAGATGTCACATCAAACTCCTCCGTTCAACAGGTGAATCAAAGCGAGGCCGTGTGGGCGGAGCCGAGAGAGGACGACCGGATCCACACGGTCTGAGTATTAACTGTTTCACTCACGCACACGCAGCCTGAGGAGAGGTTACCTGACAGGGAGGCCGGAGCGTCTGTACCAAGCTAACATTCCTGGGCTCCTGCTCACTCCTCGACCAGCACCAGGCAATAAAACATGCACTCAATAACACTAATTAGCTCCAGAAGCATTCCTCTGGGCCTGCAAGAAAACTATGTGCACAGACGGCTGTGCATGTACATACACATCTATGAGGTGTAGCTGCACCGGCAGGGACTGCAGGAGAACAGGGAGAATACTACAGTACTGCAGGAACCACGGCTTTAACACCGTCATTTATTATCATTTTAATTTCCACCATCTTTAAACTCAGCTCCTGTGTCGAAAAACGACTCAAAGTGAAGCAGCACTAGGAGTTCAGACCCAGTCTGTGGAGGTATGTATATGGGTATGTGTGTGAGAGAGAGAGAGAGAGGTGGGGTGTAGAACAAATACACAGAAGAACTTGAGAAAGTGCTGAAATGTTTTATGTCTGGGGGGCACAGGAGGTTCAAACCCCCGGAGGTGAGGGCCAGAGCCGGAGGTTGGAGACCAAACACCCGACAACACTACTGGGACCATGTGACAACGGGCTGATTAAAATATTAAGGTCAGTGCTGATAATCAATACTGTTTGTTCAGACCATG